GAGGAGGAGGAGAAGGAGGAGGAGGAGGAGGACGGATGTACTACTACTACTACTACTACTACTACTACTACTACTACTACTACTACTATTACTACTACTACTACTACTACTGCTGCTACTACTACTACTACTACTATTACTACTACTACTACTACTACTACTACTACTGCTACTGCTACTGCTACTGCTACTGCTACTACTGCACTGCTACTGCTACTGCTACTGCTTACTACTGCTACTTACTACTACTACTACTACTGCTGCTGCTGCTGCTACTACTACTACTACTACTACTACTACTACTACTACTACTACTACTACTACTACTACTACTACTACTACTACTACTACTACTACTACTACTACTACTACTAATACTACTACTACTACTATTACTGTGCTCCCTACCGATATGCAATTCACCCTCCCCTCGTGCGGCCCGTGTTTCTGCTTGCTCCGCTGTACTCGATACGTTGGTGATACTTCTCTCTCTAAGAAGGTTCGGGGACACCCTTACAACCGTGGGTAGCAGCCCATATATTGCACGCCTTGTTTATGGTTTCCACTACTGGGTCCCCACAAGGGTGGGCCCCACAGGCAGTTCTCTTACCACTACTATGGGGAGGTGGTGTGGCTACGCTGCCGACTTTGAAGGACACCTGAGGCGCACCCTCCTCCAGCCTCCTCAGTTCAGGTGCTAAAGGGCATTTTGAGACACTTGCGCTATACACATCATATCTTCCGCTCGCGTTTCCGACACTCTGGTGGCTCTTCTCTCCAGCTAAGGTTCGGGATGTCCCTGCCAAATTGTGTTTTAATGAATTTAATGCCGCACAGCAGTTGTACCGATCTTGCGAATGGGCTGGGTGGGGGGGAGTGCTTCCAGCTGGGGAGGGGGTGAGTTGACACCATGCTGCATTAACTGTACTTATGACAGCATGACGCCGCATTTTGCAGCGCAGAGCTTACTTGCATGCTGCCTCGGACCACATCTTGCCAGACGCATTCGCGCGCACTGGGCCGGAAGGCGGCAGCATTTTGGCGACACTGCGCCACTTTTTTTGCATTCCACAGGGCATTCTCTCACAGTTGCCCGATCTGCCCTGCACCCTCATTTTCGCGTCCCCGACACGATGGTGGCACCTCTCTCCATACGCAGGTCCCGGGTACTCCTGCAACACCCTGGGCCGCAGCCCCAACTCCTGCACGCTTCCTTTCGGAAGGTTAAGGGTACACCTCAAAACCCCATTGCAGCACACAGCGTGCACATTTGGTCACTATGCGTATACATTGGAGGCTGGAGGTTCTGGTGGAGGCGAGGTGGATGAGGGCGGTGGTGGATCTCCCTACATGGTTTCAGGGTTATCTGGCGAAGCCCTGGGTCGCGACCCACTCCCTTTTTGGAGGCTAGGAGTGAACCTTCAAAACCCTACGCAACACTCACAGTGCGCACTTGGGCCCCCACAGTGCCTGACCCATACGATGTCTTGCCCAGCCACAATCTCGCAGTGCGCACCCAGCCTCAGAGTACTGGCAACGCAGCAACAGTACCGATCTTTAACTCTCCCGCAGCAGACCAGACAGCACACACTTACATTTTGGCTGCATCAGGCTCTACGTGAGTAATATGCTCACGTCTGAGCTTCAGCAGCACAGCCCGCGCAGAGAGTACAGCTCACAGAGTCTTGGCAGCACCTAGCCACAGGTAGGGCACGCTTTTATCCCAATAGGCCAGCCCAAAAAAGGCCAGCCTACGATACCGATCACAAGACCACTCTTGCTGGACAATATGGGTTCGTGCTGAACCCGTGAAGAAACATACAACAAACACAAGGGTCCCATTACCGAGGTGGTTCGGGGGAAACCCAAAAACCTTCGGCGGCAACCCAGGAATTGCCACGCTTTAGTGCCTTCCTTCGGCGCTGTATGGCAGCTCACGCGACTTACCCCACACCTTTCTTTCTCTACATGAATGGTGGCGGAGGAGGATCTCTTTATTTAGGTTCGGGATTATCCTACACAACCCTGGGTCGCAACCCAAATATTGCGTTTTTTTGGAGGTTAGGGGCAAACCTTCAAAGCCCAAATGCAACACTCACAGTGCGCACTTGGGCCCCACAGTGGCTGACCCATACGCTGTCTTGCCCAGCCGCCATCTCACAGTACGCACCCAGCCTCAGAGTACTGGGAGCGCAGCAGCAGCACCGATCTTCAACTCTCGGGAGGTGGGTGGTGGGCAGCTGGGTGGGTATGATGGCGGTGGGGGATCTCTCTATTTAGGTCCAGGGCTATCCTACAACACCCTGGGTCACAGCCCAACGATTGCACGCGTTTTTTTTGGAGGTTAGGGGTAAACCACTTGGGCCTCCACGGGGGCTGACCCCGACAGTCGGGGCGCTGAAGAAGGAACCCTGTTCGTTGGGGAGGGGCTCGGTGTTCCCTGATTGTTTTACAGTTTGCCTTGGGTTTTCCTTAGGTTTTCAATGGAACATCGAAGTTTAACTTATGGAAAACGGGGCCTCGTTCCTTATGTAGGGTTCCTTAGGTCAACGCCCCGACTGTACGGGCCCCCACGGGGGCTGACCCCTACGCTGTCTTCGGAGGAGGCTGCGCGCAGGCTGCGGTGGCTGTGGTCGGTGGTGGCGGAGGAGTGCGCCCGCTTGTGCTCTTGGGTCAACCAGAACCCTGGGCGGCAGCCCCAGACCTGCACAGTCAAAGTGGCGCCACTGCGCTTTTTTTTTTGTTTTTTGTTTTTGTTTTTTCCCCAACCAGCTTGCTGAACGGGGTGCTGTTGTGATAGAAGCTAACTCCGGCCGAGGGAAGTCGGAGCAGAGACATTCTCACAAAAATTTGATGGTCCGGGCCGTTTCGCTTGAGACATCCTCACAACTCTCGTTTCTGAGTTGGCCGGGATTGGCCGTTTCGCCTGAGACATCCTCGAAAAGTTGCGCTCCGGGACGCCGCGCGAGAGGTGGTCCGGGCCGTTTCGCTTGAGACATCCTCGAAACTCTGAGCCCCGAGGTGCCGTGCGAGAGGTGGTCCGGGCCGTTTCGCCTGAGACATCCTCGAAACTCTGAGCTCTGAGATGCCTTGCGCGAGGTGGTCCGGCCCGTTTCGCCTGAGACATCCTCGAAACTCTAACCTCGGAGATGCCGCGCGAGAGGTGGTCCGGCCCGTTTCGCCTGAGACATCCTCGAACTTCTGAGCTCTGAGATGCCTTGCGCGAGGTGGTCCGGCCCGTCTCGCCTGAGACATCCTCGCAACTCTGAGCTCTGAGATGCCGTGCGCAAGGTGGTCCGGCCTGTTTCGCACAAGACATTCTCACGAACTCTGAGCTCCCAGATGCCGCGCAAGAGGTGGTCCAGCCTGGGGGCCCAGAAGACCACATGTTACATGTCCTCCCTGGGACCCTGGGAGCCCGCCTGAGACATCCTCGAACTTCTGAGCTCTGAGATGCCCTGCGCGAGGTGGTCCGGCCCGTTTCGCACAAGACATTCTCGCAACTCTGAGCTCTGAGGTGCCGTGCGCCAGGTGGTCCGGCCTGTTTCGCACAAGACATTCTCGCAACTCTGATCTCCCAGATGCCGCGCAAGAGGTGGTCCAGCCTGGGGGCCCAGACGACCACATGTTACATATCCTCCTTGGGACCCTGGGAGCCCCAGGAGGCCCCAGAGAGCTCCAGGAGGCCGCAGGACGCCCAGGACAGGCCCCAGGGGTCCGCAGGAGATTCCCAGGAGGCTCCCAGGAGGCCCCAGGAGGCCCCCTATCAGAACGTGTCAAGTTAATACACATCCGGTGTCGATTCGTTGATTTTTCCTGCTCTTGTGGCCCCCCCCCATTTTGGGGGGCCCCGACGGCCACATGTTAGATATCCCCCCCTGGGAGCCCCAAGAGGCTTCAGGAAGCCCCAGGTGGGGTCCAGGAGGCCACAGGAGGCCCAGGAGGAAGCCCCAGGAGGTCACCAGGAGGCCCAGGAGGCCCAGGAGGCCCCCGCAACTCGGAGCTCTGAGACGCCGCGCTCGAGGTGGTCCGGCCCGTTTCGCCTGAGACTTCCTCGCAGCACGTTTCGCCCGAGACATCGTCGCAACTCTGGGGTCCGCGATGCCGCGCGCGAGGTGGTCCAGCCCGTTACGCTGGAGACATCCTCGCAACTCTAGGCTCCGAGATGCCGTTCGGGATGAAGAGGAGGTGGAGGAGGAGGAGGAGGAGGAGGAGGAGGAGGAGAGGAGGAGGAGGAGGAGGAGGAGCGGAGGAGGAGGACAGGAGGAGGAGGAGGAGGCATGTTTTAACATGCCATGCCAGCCCGCACTGGACGGGCACGCAATCGACATTGGAAACCGCAGTGGGTCTAAAAACCCTGTTTGGGGATACTGCACTCCAGCTATAATTACCTTGGCACTGAGCCGGCGCATACCGCCCGAAGGGGGCGTTTCAACCAACCCAGCCTGGCCGCCAGTGTCGCCCCGTGCGAGGGATACCGCAGTTTTCTTTGCAGTGGTGCGCAAGGGGGAGGAGATGGAGAGGGGAGGAGGGGGGGGGGGGGGAGGGGAGGCGGGGGGCACCAGGAGGGAGGGAGGGGGGAGAAAGGGAGGAGGAGCAACCAGGGAAGGAGGCGGACAGGGCAAGCGAGGGGGGCCTGGCACAGAAGACGGGGGAGGCGAGAGGGGGGGCCCACGAGGGGGGCGGACCCCCGTCGAGGGCTCCGCGCCGCCCCGCGCCCGCGCCCGCGCCCGCGGAGGCCTCGACCCGCCTCGCGCGTGCAGGCGCGCGCGCGCGGGCGCCCGCGCGATGTGCGGCGGGGGCGCGGCGCTCGAGGCCGCGGCGCGGAGGCCGCCCCCCGCCCCCGCCCCCGGGGCAGACGGCACCCGCTCGGCCTGCGGCACCCGTCGGGTGCCCCCGGACGGCGGGGCGGTTCCGCGGGCGTGCGGGGCCGCCGCGCCCGCCTGCGGGGACCGGCGGGTCGTCCTCCGAGGGCGTCCGGAGCGGCGGGGGCCCCCGAGGTCCCAGGGCCCAGCAGTGACGGGCCGCGTGGCGCGGTCGCGGTGCATGCCGAGGCCGCCACGCGGCCCGTCGCCGCGCGGTTTTGGGCCTCCCCGAGGCTCGGCGGCGAGGGCGGGCGCGGGCGGAGGGCAGACGGCGGCGAGGGCGAGGAGGGGCGCGCGGAGCGTGCCGCGAGCGGACGTGTCGCCCCGCCCTCCTCTGTCGCATCGGGGGGCTGGGAGCCCCCTCTCGGGCGTGGCCGAGGGCAGCGGCAGCGGCCGGGTGCGGCGGCTCGCCTCCACGAGTGGTGGTCCCGCTGCTGCGGCGTCTGTGTTGGCGCGGGCGGGTCTGCGCGCCCACCGTGTGGCCCCTCTTCAGGGAGGAAAAGACACACAGACACAATTCATCGTCGAGTCCCAGGAAAATATGGGGAGATATGGGAAGTGGGGGGGAAGACAAAAACCCAGAAAATATGGGAAGATCTGGGGAATATTTTTATCTGTGTGTATTCATTGGTGTGTCCTGGGGCCCCTTCATTTGCGAATCACCCGCCTGCCGCTGATAGTATCTATGTGGCATGATCCGGAAGCCACGGCCTCACCCGCCTGGGTTTCGCAAGGCTCAGGCGGCCCGGGCGCGTGTCCGCTGTAGTTTATGTTCGTTCGATCCGTCCTTTTCCCACGGGCGGAAAGCATGTCCATATTCATGCTCTCGCGGTCAAGCTGCGGTTTCGCGCGGATGCCCCGTGTGGAACGCATCCACAGGATCGCGCATCGTCGGAATCACGTCCCAGCATCCAAACCGCGAGGGCATGCACGCGGATGCGCTCGTCGCTCGTGATCTTGTCCCCCCCACCATCCCCCCCCAGCTCAATCTGCTCAAAAGTCGTTCCCCCTTGGGTCCATCCTGACACGTCTTTCGGGGCAGATCCAGCCATGGCGGCGAGAAGCCTTCAGGACCCCACCCCCGCAAAAGGAAACCGCAACGGAGGGCTGGCATTGTGCCTCGTTCTGGTTTTGGGGCCATGAGTCGGGTGTCCAGCGGTCGTTCGAGACGATCTTCAGGAGGGACACAAGCACTTTTCGTCGGCGATGAGGCAGAGTTGGCTGCACAAGCGACAGAGCTAAACGGGGGCATCGAGAAGCGAATTGGCCAGCGTACAAGAGCGGGGAGAGGACACACGAGGCGGCGGGAAATAAACACAGACGAAATTAATCGTCGATCCCTAGGAAACTATGGGAACATATGGGAAGCGGGGGGGAAGACGAACATCCAGAACATATGGAACATACGGGGAATCCAGGGATTGGTGTTTATTCATTTGTGTCCCTGGGCCTCTTCAGATCTGGGCACTCCTGGAACGCTCTCGGCGGAAGCATCCCGAGGCGAGAAAACTCTTCAGCAGCAACGGGAGCGTCGGAACCCTGAGACCCCCGGCCGCGACCCCGAGGGTGCCGCCGAGGCGGAGGAGGCTGGCTGGAGAGGGAGGCGGCGCTGCAGGACGAGGGCGCAGAGGAGGCGGAGGCGGAGGAGGCGGGGCCGAGACCTCCGCCGCGAAAGCCTCCAGGAAGAGCTGTGAGGGCACCGCTGTGGGGGCGGAAAACGTACGAGTTGGGCCCCGGAGGGGAGCGAGAGGGGGCGGGCCTTGTCAGAAGGCTCGGAAGTCGCCTGGCCTTCTGAGAAGTTCTCTGAGACTTCCTCGAAGGCACAACACACCCCTCAGAAGGCTGGAGGGCTTCCGAGAAGCCCCGCCGCCTTCGGAGAGGGCCTTCTCCTTCTCGCTTCCCCTCCTCGCTCGCCGCCAAGAGAAAGGGCGGGCAGGGGGGGGGATGGACGGAAGACGAGGGGGGAGGAGCTGCGTGCGGGTGCATTTAGAGTGGTGCAGATCGCGTGCCTGTACTGCGGACGGCTTCTCCTTCTTCTCCGCCTCCTCCTCCTCCTCTCTCCTCCTCATCTCCTCCTCCTCCTTCTCCTCCTCCTCCTCCTCCTCCTCTCCTCCTCCTCCTCCCCCCCCTCCCCTTCTCCTCCTCCTCCTCCTCCTCCTCTCCTCCTGCTCCTCCTCCTCTCCTCCTCCTCCTCCTCCTCCTCCTCCCTCCTCCTCCTCCTCCTCCTCCCCCTCCTCCTCCCCCTCCCCCCCTCCCCCTCCTCCCTCCTCCTCCTCCTCCTCCTCCTCCTCCTCCTCCTCCTCCTCCTCCTCTTCCATTTCCGACCCCCCCTCGCACGCGGCCGAACTTTGCTGACCCTGCCCGCCGCCGACCCCGCGGACCCGCGGCTGCAGGCTGCTGGGCGAGGCGCCGACCCTGCGGCTGCGGGCCGACTGGCTGGCCTCGCAGGAGGAGGCGTTGCGCGGCCCCGCGGGCCTCGACGAGGGCGCCGCGCCCCGGCCTCTCCGCCCGGGGGGGGGGGGGGCGGGCGGTCCTGGGTCTCGGGGGCGGCCAAGAGGGGGGTGAGGCCAAGAGGGGGGCGGATATCGTGGCGGGGGCCGGGATGTCTCCCCAGATTTCAGGGCGCCTCTTCTCATTTCAAGACGTCCCCGGCCCCCCCCCTCCACTGGGCCGCGCACGTGCCGCCGGCCATGATGTGCGCCCCCCCAATCTTGGACGCCCCCCTTTTGACCGCCCTGGAGGGTCGGGCGAAAGGCAGGGGTCGGCGGCGACGGGAGGTGGAGGGGGAGGGGGGGGGGGGGAGGAGGTCGAGGAGCAGGAGGAGAAGGAGAAGGAGAAGGAGAAGGAGAAGGAGGAGGAGGAGGAGGAGGAGGAGGAGAAGGAGGTGGAGGAGGAGGAGTAGGGGGAGGGGGAGGGGGAATGGGAGGGGGAGGGGGAGGGTGAGGGTGAGGAGGGGGAGGAGGAGGAGGAGGAGGAGGAGGAGGAGGAGGACCAGTCTAAACCCAAGAGTACTCAACGATGTTGGAGTAAACCCTACCTCCAAACTCCCTTTTCAAAGGCCCCTACAACAGTTCATTTCCATTGATGGAACTGCCTCGTTGGAAGACACCCGTTTGAAGACCCTGAAGCATGCCAAAACATGGTTCTCGGGATTTCAACGCTACGGATCAACCTGACTGTTGCGTCTTGACGATCGGGAATCACGCCAGAACGCCATTCCTAGGACTTCAACGCAGATAATTCAATGTAACTGTTGCACCCGCATAATCCAGAGTCCTTCAAACCACAATTTCTGGTTTGGTGAGGATGGGAATCAGTGACATTTTGGAAAATTCAGCAAACGAATGTGCGCGGCGCTAAGGCGAGAACCACTTTTGAAAAGGACCGCCCTCAATCCGTCTTGCAATTTTTTAAAACGACTGTGCGCGGCGCTAAGGCGAGAGCCACATTTTGAAAACGACCCGCTCTCAATCCGTGAAGCTCTAGCAATTTTTGAAACGAATGTGATCCGCGCTAAGGCGAGAGCCACATTTTGAAAACCACCCGCCCTCAATCCGTGAAACGCTTGCAAATTCTAAAGCTTCAGAGTCATGATGGTGAGGAAGTCTCAGGCGAAACGCCCAGCCCGCCCTAAAAACTGGCTTCGGGGTGTAACAGGGAGAAGTTATTTATAAGGAAAAGGAATGGAAGAGGAGGAGGAGGAGGAAAAGGAGGAGGAGGAGGAGGCGGAGGAGGAGGAAGAGGAGGAGGAGGAGGAGGAGGACGCAGAGGAGGCGGAGGCGGAGGCGGAGGCGGAGGCGAAGGCGGAGGCGGAGGAGGAGGAGGAGGAGGAGGAGGAGGAGGAGGAGGAGGAGGAGGAGGAGGATGAGGAGGAGGAGGAGGAGGGGGAGGAAGAGGAGGACGATGAGTAGGATGAAGAGGAGGAGGAGGAGGCGGAGGAGGACCTCTTCTCTTTCTCCTGCCTGCTCCATTATGCTCCCTGTTTCTTCCCCCGTGGGGGCCTGCTCCAGACGCCAGGCGCCGCGGCGGACGCGCTGCTGCGGCTCTTCGCGGCCGCGGACCTGCGCGATTCCTGTGAGGGCTCCCCCCTGCCCCGAGGAGGTCGTCGTCGTCGTCTTCGTCGTCGTCGTCGTCGTCGTCGTCGTCGTCCAGGTCGTGGTGGTCGTCATCGACGTGGTCGTCGACGTGGTCGTCGCGGTGGTTGTCGTTGTCCCGCGCGCGGGGGTCCAGAGAAGGGAGAGGACGTGGAAGGAGAAGGAGAGGGATGACCGGACCACGGTGATGATGTTGTTGATGATGATGATGCTGATGAGGATGAGGATGCGGCTGAGTATGATGATGCTGATGCTGATGATGATAATGCTGATGATGATGAGGATGATGTTGATGACGATGATGACGATGACGATGATGCTGATGCTGATGATGACGATGCATATGCTGATGATGCTGCTGATGATGATGCAGGTGCTGATGATGATGATGCTGCTGATGATGATGATGATGATGATGATGATGATGACGACGACGACGATTATGATAATGCTGCCGATGATGATGATTATGATGATGATACTGATGATGCTGATGCTGATGATGGTGAGAATGACTATGCTGCTGCTGCTGGTGATTATGATGCTGGTTTGTGGTGCTGCTGATGATTCAGATGCTGATGCTGCTGATGATGATAGTGATGCTGATGATGCTGATGATGAGGCTGCTGATGATGATGACGATGATGACGACGATGATGATGCTGTTGATGCTGCTGGTGATGATGCTGCTGCTGATGATGATGATGATGGTGATTATGCTGATGATGATGGTGATGCTGCTGACGATGATGATGATGATGATGATGATGATGATGATGATGATGATGAAAAAGAAGAAGATGCTGATGATGATGATTATGATGATGATGATGCTACCGCTGATGATGATGATGATGATGATGATGATGATGATGATGATGCTGATGCTGCTGCTGATGATGTTGATGATGGTGATGCTGATGCTGATGCTGATGCTGATGATGATGATGATGATGATGATGATTATGATGATGATGCTGATGATGATGAGATGATGACGATGATGATGATGATGCTGATGATGACGACGACGACGACGACGACGATGACGATGATGATGATGATGATGATGATGATGATGATGATGATGATGATGATGATTATGATGATGATGATGATGATGATGATGATGATGATGATGATGATGATGATGATGATGATGATGATGATGATGATGATGTATGATGATGATGATGATGCTGATGATGATGATGATGATGATGATGATGATGATGATGATGGTGATGATGATGATGATGATGATGATGATGATTACGCTGATGCTGATGCTGATGCTGATGCTGATGCTGATGCTGATGCTGATGGTGATGGTGATGATGGTGGCGGTGGTGGCAGTGGTCGGGGTGGTGGTGGTGGTGGTGGTGATGGTGGTTGTGGTGGTGGTGGTGGTGCAGTGTCCCTCGTTGGCCCCATGGGAGCCCAACCGTGTGCGTCCCTGTATGTCCCTTTTCCGTAGCCTGTTGTTGCGTAGGCGCGTGTGATGATCGGACCTTCTCTGTTCCTAGGGATAACGTCTTCGCCCGCCCTCACGCTGGAACTTCCCGATCATACTGTGCCCATGTATTAGTGACAGTGGTAAGCGGAGCGTGATGTCCGAGGCGGTGATGGCGGCGATGGGAATCCCCGATGGTGGCCAGAAGGTCAGGCGGAGGAAGCCGCAGAACAACAACCCCAGCAGAAGCCCCCGAGATCGCCGAGATCCGCAGGATGGGAGTTGCCCACGTCGCCCTGAGCCTCCTCCAGTACCCAGACAGAAGGACAACCCTCCTGGAGCAGTTCTTGGGTATGGACGGTATGGGGATGGGCTCCTACCTCGTGGACTGGGGCGGGCGCCTGGAACACGACCCAGTGGCAGAATACTTCACAGGAGCAAGGCCCGAGAAGGATGGGGACCCGTGGAAGGCATGGCAGCTGACCGAGCCGCCAGAAGCATCATGGTGTAAGTGGAGTGCTACGCCGAATCAAGGTTCGTACGCTCCTAACCGAGATTTTGGCGCCCCGCTTGCGTGGTTCGGGTAGAAGAGCTGGTCTAAAACTGAGACGACGACAGGGCGAGTTCTCGAGGGCCTGCTTGCAGATATGCAAGCTAAAATCAGTCCCTTTCGTGCCGAGCTCGACTGCGAGGATGGAGTCTGGCGCTTGCTTGAACATGTGACGCTGCTGAGTGGCGAGAGATCCGGAGATACAGACCGCTTGGCGCACAACGTTGCGCTGTTTGACTACGTGATTCGCAGATCGGAGACACCGACGGAGTGCGTGCGATACTCGAAGATACAAGAGGCCAAGCGACACTCCTCTCGTGCTACCCGACGGAGTAAAAGCCAGATGCTTGGAGGAAGGTGCGAGCCTGTCCGCCCAGAATCGCATCGACCTGGCGACGTTGGCCAGCGGAACAACGGATAGCGCGTTTATTCAGCAGCGTTATTGAAGATGGACGTGGAAGTCAAGCCCATTCTCCCGACGAGCCACGTGCAGACCAAGAGCTTCCCTGTGGAGATTGAAAGGCTGAGGCTCTGCCCCTGGCGTGCTCGCTGGCCGAGGGCGAGAACTTCATCGCGGATGTGGGCGGCTCGGTGGAGCTCCTGGACGAAGACGCGGGCGCGCTGCTGGCGACGCTCGACGAGCGGGATCTCGGGGAGACCGAGTTCCCTCGGGTGTTTGCGGCGCTGGTCGAGGACCGATTGGGGGGAGACAGGGGGCGAGCGTGGCAGGGGGCTCGGCGTGTGAAGGCGGCCGAGAAGATCGATCGGGACTTCCCTGACCGCAGGCGCGCGGCCGAGCCGGGCTGCGAGAGGCTGGCGATGAGTAATGCCAATGGGCGAACGCGCGTTGCCAACTGCCGAGATCGTGGTCATTGGGCTTGCGCGCGCAAGAACCCGTGTCGCTCCGAGGCCGATAGATTGGCGAACGAGAAGGGGGGCGACATTGGCGGCAAGAAGGGCGCCTCCAGCACGTTCTTCTTATACGTAGTGGGAAACGACGGCGACTTGGTCGCGGTGCAAGGGTGGATTGTTGTGCTGAAGACGTTCGCGGTGAGCTCGGGCAAGTGCGAGCCGTCGCTTCGGCGCGTTGGAGACCGCGGCTTGGTCGACGCGGCCGCAGCCCAGGCTCTCGTCGGAGATGAGGACTTGAACGTGGTGGGCGAGGCGTTCCAGCGCCGAGGATTTCGCATCCTGGCGAAGCGAGGCCTGGTCGAGGGAATCGCCGCTAGCGGCTTCGGCGGACGCGCGCAGCCCGTGGCTTGGGCGTGGGTTCCAGTCAGTCTCTGGAAGCGCGGTGTGGTCGAGTGAGTTTCTCGTGCTCCTTGGGCGCTGTCCTCCACTTCTGCCCGCTCGACTCCTCCTCGCGAAGGTGGGCCTCGGCGACTGCGTGATCGCGTGCGGGGGCAAGGGCCAGGTGGGGGGGGCTCTGTTCTGGCGCCCTGCTGGGCGCCGATCGATCGACCCGCCTGATCGATTGCGAACCGGGCGAGTTCAGGGTCGGCGTCGAGGCCAAGGGGCGCGCCCCCGAAGACGCGAGGCAGGGCCGTGGGGGGGCGCGTTGATCAGTCAGACCCCCTTGGGCGTGCGATTTGGCGTCTGGGGTCTCCGGGGGGCGTCTTGGGGCAGCGGGCCAATCCTAGCGGTCGCGCTCCGTGGCCGTCGCGGCCCAGCTTTGTGGCCTGCCTGAGATGCTGGGTGCGAGGGCTGGGCGATCAGAGATGGTAAAGGGCACCGTGCAGAAGAGGGCGGTGGCGATCAAGCGCCGCAGTCTGGCGTCGCTGCTGGCATCGGTCCGCGAGAGCGACGTGGAGCTCATGGATTTTTTTGGGGGATTCCGCCGTAGCTTAGGAGCTTGGATTTCGCGGCGCAGGAGCTGACCCAGCAGGAGAGGAACGATCTCTACGACGGATGCTCGGTCCTTTCGCCGACGCAGCTTCGCTGGCGTCGGCGCGCGCTGCACCTGCTGCGCATGGCCGCGCTCTGCCTGGCAATCCGCGGGGTGGCGATCTCGTGGCTGGTGGCCGTCGAGTTGAATTGAGGCGAGTTCGAGGTCGTGGGGGGGCGCCGCGCGCGTCCGCCGTGGGCCGTGGCGGAGCACTCGAACGGGGCTCACTGCAAGATGCGCGGCCCGCGCCTATCTCTTCGAGGCGAGGCCCCGCGGGGGGGGGCGGCGGCGCGGGCTGGGGGGCTCGCCGAGCATATCAAACAGGAAACAGGTCTCAAGGCGACGAAGAAGGCGGAGCAGCATGTCGAGGCCCACCAAGGGCGACCCCATAGATGGCGGGCCTGGTGCCGTGCAGTCCGCCTACTCTAACGGCTCTCGGGGCCCCGGCCCAGGGGTGCTCGGGGCGACGCCGAGTTCGGGGTGGGGGGGTCCTTCCATGGCGCGGCAGGAGGCGGAGGAGATGGTGCAGGGGGTCCTGGGCCCCCGCGGCAGCTTCCTCGAGACGTTCTGCCGACGGCCGTGAAGAGCCCTCCGCAAAGGCCAGGCTGGGCACCGATTCAGTCGGCGATGAGCAACCGGGAGCCGCGGGCCGCCCGGGCAAAGACGCTCCTGGACCAGAGGCGCACCCTGTCCGAGCAGCTCCACAGGGCCCAGGAGAAGACAGAGCAGCAGCGGGCAGCGCGAACCAGGAGCTCGGCGGGCCTGCGCGACGAGAACATCATGAGGCTGGCGCGCATGATCAGGAACGCGGGTCGCCTGAACAAGTTGAAGGAGGAGGAGCTAGAGCTGGCGCGCGACGGGCAGGGCAACCCGCGCCTGGGAGGAGGATTTCGCGGGCGAGTCTCGAGGCCTGGCCAGATACTGCTCAGAGGGATTCTCTCGGGAGGTTCGATTCAGTTCCGAAAGTCGGTCATCTGATCCTGAGAGGCCTTGGTCTAGACCGCTCGTGATCGGGGGATCTCGGGTCTTCTGGGGAAATCGCGTGAGAGTTGGGGCTTCTGGGGCAGGGCCAAGGGTCGACAAGTCAATCCCGACGAG